GGAAGAGAAAATTAAGGGGATGTGAGGTTAGGGCTTTGGGGCTGATTGAGGGAGGATTTTCTTGGATTGGAGGGCGGGAGGGAGCGGTGATTGAAGGAAGGCAAGCTTAGGATTTGGGAATTAGGGTTTGGGGATTAGGCTAGGGTTTGGAGATTCGGATTTGAAAGTCCATGGCTATTTGAGAGGGCATGGGGGTGGGAGAGTTTGAGGGTCTAATTTAAAAATATGAAAGATCCAGTAGACTAATATCTAATGGACCATTGAGTTTATAATTAATTAAGAAACATGTACTTTAGGTTGGGGGTAAAATGAGAATTTCACACCAATTTTGAGTTGAAAAGTCGATTAAGTGTGATATTGCAAACATGAATGCATGTAAAGATGGTTTTGATCAAAAATTAAAACTAAAGTTGATAAGGATCAATTTGAATATAAGTTAAGGTGGTGTTGATGTAAATTTATTTATTATTATTATTGTTGTTGTTGTTGTTGTTGTTGTTTTGTGGATCCACTCCTTATTTTGATTTTGAAAAAAACAAGCAAGTTTACTTCAAAACTGGACATGAATCAATCCTAGCCCAGTTTTGAGTAGTTAACCAAATTAATTCGTAAATATCGGATTCCAAATTTTAAGGTAACGGGATTAGATGCTCAACTCTAATCGCATACACGTGCTTAAAATATAGTGCGTTAGCATGAGAATATGAAGTGTAATGTCTTCATCAAATCGGTCGTTGTACAAAATTTTCTCCGCATTTTTTACTCTTTTGCTTCCCATTCCCTTGGGCAATTGACAAAAAGCAGTAGACGTGGCGTGTTAACACAAGGAACCAAGAAACAAAGCTCCAAATTGTAAATACTAAAAGCACAAAAATTCCGTATACAAGTAAACGAAGGTAAATCAAAGGAGGAGAAAAAGGAGAAGAGATTTTGCTAAGATTTGAGAGTATCCTCGCCTTCTTTTTTTCCCCCCTCGACAAAAAGCTAGAGACGTGTGAGGGGGTGCTCAAATTCTATTCATAAATATTGATGTTGGGTTTAGAAATAGCAACTGTAACCAAAAATAAGTTTGAAACTGAAAGGTTGTCGTTGTCAGCAAATTTGTAATATTTGGTCCATCATGTGACCTTGCAGAGTTGGTCAGCAGTCGGTAGCTATCGTGGTCTGTTCAACGTTGTAGGCTAGTTTAATTGGGTTTGGTATGAACGTGGGCTAGTAAATGGTCAGCCTAAATCAGGCGTGTTTCTCTTCATGGGCCGGTAATAACTTGACATATGTTCTTCTGCTCTGCTTTGTGTATTTAACGAAATGAATTATATTTATAATTATTTCTTAGTTTTCTGACGTAAGATACTGGGTCGATTTAAATAAATTATCCGACTACCTTCGATCACAGGCACGATGCTGAATCTGAACAAGACCATAACACGTTCGATCATGGGGAGCTCCTAATATTAAGGAGGACTGCGACCCGATTAATCTGGCATCAATTTCAACCCGACCCGACTCACAATTCCCTTACGTCCCTAGAACATGCAGCTCAAACTCAAAAGTAAAAAAATCGGGAGACTGAAAGATATCAGCCGAGATCTCCGAGTAGATAAGCAAGTGAAAACATGTGGCCTTTTGATTCGTAAGCAAAGGCATCAATTGGAGCTACTTTGTGCCGGAGATTTTAATCAAGTAAAGATGATCGCTAGTAGTTATGCTTTATAAATTTTTGGACATGCATCGAGGAGGGGATAGAAGTCAGACACCATCAAAAGAACGAAAAATGATGAGGTGTATCATGCTAACGGTTTCATGAACCTCCCCACTTTCTAACTCCAATGATGCTTGCACGTCTTAGAGGGGTTAAAAAAAATAAAAAATACAAACTAAAGGTCAAAATATCTTTACCCGTATTCTGATAACATGTATTTTTGTGCATATCTCTTAATAACATAAACGGTGACCGTATTCTATATCTTTTTTTCATAACATATATAATCTCCTTTTGGGATTCTGATCATAAAAGGGCTTCATTTGGAGGATACTGGATACCCAGGATAGTTAATTAATCATATCTATGTAACTCGGAACTGTAGAAAAGTAAGCCAGACTGGAAAATTCACTCTCCCGTATTATTCACCACGTCACGTCATACACACCATATAGATGGGCCGAATACATGTACCTGGGCCTCGGACGAAGATTCCAGACAACATACGTCCAAACAGTGTATTTAGATCATCATCCGTATATATCCTATACAGTTATACTAACTCACCGCAAGTGAGATTGTGATGTTGTCTCAGCGTACTTTGGGAACCCCACTCGCTCCTTGCCCTTAATATATTCCCATGCGCCTCCTGCATACCGAAGTTATGATGGGACTCGGCGCCAAATTACTCAAAATTGGCGGGGAAAATATCTCATCTACGCCATTTTCCCGCCAATAATAAAATTCCCGCCCCTCTCATCCCCACGTTCATGAGCAGTCAATGCACCGGATTCTCGTCTGCCACTTCTTCGGACCATCCAAGGCGGGGAGCCCATGACAAGCGTGAAAAGCTTTAATTCAGAATTTTAAAAATCACGCAACAAAATATCATGTTTTCCTCTTGAATTTCATTATTCCGAAGGAATTGAAACTGTAGTTGTTGGGCTGGGTGGTAAAAATAATTTCTTTCGCATTTTTATTTACTTGAACTAAGTCTTAGGTACTTTTCATAAAATCGATGTTTCGATGGGTAAAAAGGAAATGAGTAGCGACAAATATACATATGCTACAAACTCTATATATATACTATTTTCATACACTACAAATAAAATAATGGGGCCTATGATGACCCGTAAAAGTTTTAACAAACTTTTAAGAAAAGGATTCAAACTTTTGTTTGTACAAAAGTAGTAAAGTACATTTTAGTATGATTAGCGATTTTTCAAAGAGAACATAATAAATGTAAAAAATAGTAATATATAACTCATACGAAGAGGAATTTAAAAAAAAATGAAACATACGTAGATCATGCTTGATATGAAATAACAAGATTATAGTTATCTAATTTCTAAAACATTGTAAATAAGGCTAGAGTTCCGTGACAAGAAGAAAAGTGAGTCTAAAATAATATATTTTTTGACATTTACTTAACTTATAACAGAATCTATAAATATCTAAATTTATATTAGTTTAAATAATTAACAATTTTAATCAAATAAATAGTCTCGTTTAATATTTACTCGGATTAACAGCCACTTTCCTACTTTTTCGCTGTTGGAGAGATTAAAATTATTTACTTTCAAATATTGTCGCCAGTGTAAATAAAGCTTTGACACTGTATGCATTCCTCGGATTTCGGATTCGGATTCGGAATCGGATTCGGGCCTTTTTCCAGTTGGAAAGTTACCCTCCCTACCCGGCAATACGACGGCGCACGTGGTTTATGACACCTAGTCACATGACTGAGACAGACCCCAGCCCAGCCCACTCCCCCTAAAACGTGCCTGCTCCTCGTTTTTAATGCACCCACGTTCTCGCCTCTCTTTCCACTAATCCGAACTCGACACGTTGCCTGGTACGTTGAACCGTTGTCTTCGTCCCAACTGCTTTTCTCCCCGTACTGAAAATTCAAGCTGACGATTAGCTTGCGCAGATTGTGATTGTTTAATCCGCCCTTGATTGTGCGATTAAGGGCGAATTAAACATTTATGAACGGACGCGGGGCGGGGGAAGCGCCACGTGGATGCCAGGGGAGGTGCCCACGTCATCGAGAAGGAGAAGATTTCGGTGATTTGTTGGCAAAGTCGTCCTCGAGCCAGCCAGCCGGTCACTTGAAAAGAAGATGCGAAACTTAATTTCAAAGGGATTATTACGGAAATGAGGTAACGAGGGCGACATTACCGGCTGATTAAAGTAAGGCTGCAAAAAATTTCAGCTAATAGCTGATGGTTAGAAGTTAGAAGTTAGAACGTAGGACTTACCAAGGGAGAGTATCATTCGCCTGAATACGAATAAAGACTCGTCTTCATATAAATTACATTTAAGCAGAGTAATGCATATTTTGTTTTCTAATAAATTTGAAATCAGTTTTCATCGCTTATAATTGTTTAAACCTCTTTTATGGTTAATTAATAATGATAATAGTACTTGATAAAATATAGATATTTTAGCTCTCGAAACATGGGTCCATGATAACAGAAAGGTTGGAGTTAAAAAAAAACTCCTAATTCCATATCTGTGTATGATTTTTACTAAAAAGAAAAAAAACAAGTAACCTTTTTACCTATCCCAATGAATTCCAACGATTTATCTAGTCACATGTTCAATAACTATCGCATATCTGCCGTTTTTAATTTTTCTGCATGTTTCAATATGAATAGAAATTTTTTTAGTTATGAACTACATGCTTTCGAAGTCTTAACACATCTTCCCCAATCTTTTTACCACTAAGCTGTTGATTTTATTGTGAAAAAAACCACTTATTTCAGTGGAAATCGAATATTGATAATCCTTTTACAGCCTGCCCGTAAAATTAGATTAGACTGATAGGGACCACACGTAGGTCGGTATTCGGTAGCCCTTATGCTTGAAGGCGAAGCCAGATCTGACAACTGGTCCCATCCTTTCCACGTGCCCGAAGCTGGAACCCGAATCCATCCCTCCAACAGTGCAACTAACCAATCCACTCCCCCCAAAATCAATTTTTAACCCTAATGGACTAAATTCATACCTTATCCTCAAAAACTTTTCATTACTTAACTATTAACACGAGCCCAAACCAACCCACTCCCTTCTAACTCGCTTGAGCCCCAAGCGAAACGGCCCCTGAGCTGGCCACCACCTATTAGCAACCCCTCCTACGTGGCAGGAGAACGTGCCACGTGGACATCTGCTGCCCGAGTAGGCGACCGTGGTTTGGCTTAAAGACTCAGCGCGCTGCCCGCGGCATGTGCATTTCCTTTTATTTATCAATTTAATTTAATAAAACGGTGGTTTCTTGGACTTTAAATACGATGGAATCCGCACCCTGAAGAAGGCTGGTGAAGAAAGACCAAACCCAGCGCTTAACGCGTGCTTTACTTGTATTGCTGCTCAGATCTAAACAAGACCAAAGCGAGGCGATTTCGCCGAAGCCTGAGGACCGACGACGAAACTTTGGCGGGATTTCTGGACTTATTGTCATTTTTCTCCAGATACTGATCAGAACGAGAGATCGTGAGCGGTTTAATAGTTTGCAGATCGACCGGTGAAGAAAGCCAAAAAATGGAGCGGCCTGCTTCTTTGGATGAATACGAGAAGCTCGTCATCCGCATGAACACTCCTCGGTAATTTCAACTATTTTCGCCTCAAGTCTTGAAAATTTTTGTTCCTTTATTTGAACTTTCTTGGGTATTTTTGGCGAACAGAGTGGTGATTGATAATGCGGTGTGCGCGAGCGCGACGCTGGTGAAGGTGGACAGCGCCGCGAGCACGCCGCAACTATACTCTAGGAAAGCGCTGTTCGGTTGCTTCGGAGCCTCAACCTCCGATGCCGCCAAAGGCCTTCCACATCTCCTCCGACGGCCCGATGGTCTCATGGCACGTTTCCACGTCACCGACCCACCTCGGCCCGCCAAGATCGGGCCAGACCAGCAGCGTACATAGCCTACATCGAGCAGTCGCTCAACGACGCCGGCCTCGGCCTCGGATCTCACCCCTTCGTCGACGACGACGGCGACCTCACGGCGCTGGAGCTCACCGGAACGGATCGCCCCGGACTTCTCTCCGAAATATTCGCCGTGCTCGCCGACCTCAAGTGCAGTATTGTTGAGGCTAGGGTTTGGACGCACGGAGGTCGCGTCGCAGCCATTATATTTCTTAAGGATGTTGAATCTGGATCCCAGATCGAAGATTCTAGAAGGATCGATCTGATAACTTCAAGGCTGAGAAATGTTCTCAACAGAGACCATGATATTAGGGGGGCGAGAACGACCGTGTCTTCAGTCGGCGTTGCGAACGCCGATCGAAGGCTTCATCAGATGATGTTTGCTGATAGGGATTTCGAGAGGAGATTTGGGGATGAGCCGTCGACGACTTCGGTCTCGGTCCAGAATTGGATCGAGCGGGGTTACTCTGTCGTGGGCGTTCAGTGTCGAGATCGGCCGAAGCTCCTGTTCGATGTTGTTTGCACGCTTACAGATTTGAAGTATGTGGTGTTTCATGGCACAATCGATACCGACGCCGATCGCGCTCATCTGGTACTAGTATTGTCCTGCTTTAAAAATTGTTGTTTCTTTTGAGATTTTTTTTTCCTGATTTTTCGGGGTTCCTCGTTTCAGGAATTTTACATTAGACATTTGGATGGGTCCCCAATAAGTTCAGAAGCAGAGAGGCAGCGTGTGATTCAATACTTGCAAGCTGCGATCGGGCGCAGATCCTCCGAGGTAAATATTCCATAAATTTCCCTCGTTTATTTAGAATTTTATAATATTGAATTATATTGCATAAACTTAATTATTTTATTTCAGGGAGTGAAATTAGAACTCTGCACGATGGACCAACAAGGTCTACTCGCTGAAGTAACCCGAACTCTTCGAGAAAACGGTCTATCGGTGACAATGGCGGAGATCTCGACCAAAAGTTCAATGGCCATGAACACATTCTATGTTACCGACGCTGCTGGTAACCCTGCCGATCTCAAGACCATCGAATCAGTCATCGGACGAATCGGCCCGGGTCGACTCAAATTGATCGAGGATCGATCTGGAAGAATCAAACCGCAAACAGTCCAAGAAGAAGCCGGCGTTGGATTTTACTACTTGGGCAGCTTAGTGAAGAAAAACCTATACAATCTGGGGCTAATTCGATCTTGCTCTTAAACTCTCTTAAGCGCGTAATGTTACTGTATATAGCTTCGTCTTGTTTTGTATATATACGAACAGAAGAGCAATACACGTACGTATAGAATCTGTAGCCTGTATATAGTGAAAAATTGGTGATGCAATCTTTGACTTGGCTTTGATCATCAAAATGTTTTGCAAATGTTTAGGTCGTCGAAGAGGACTTTTATGAAGACTCTCACCGGTTTCATACCTAACGTTTAACTGCCTCTTCTTGAATTGAATAGAGAGGAGGGGGTCTAGAAGTTAGCGTGTTGGTCGGCTCTTTTTTTGGAAGTGTTCAACGATGGAAAAGGACTTTTTGCCGCCTTGTTCCTTGAAAAAAAAATGGATTGTAGAAACTTGAAACTGTGAATGTGGGCTCCGTTTGAAACAGCGTTTGTGGGGCTTCGATCCAATTTGATTCCGTTCTTGCGCGGGAGTCTCTTGTTTTGGAAGGTGAATGAAGAGTGAGTGGACCTGATGTTCTTATTATGATCTGGTATTTTTCTATGCGTCGGGGATGGAGATGACACTAGCAATTTATCTGATATTATCTATGTAACGCTGTAGAATTTGAACTCATGTTTTACTATTCACTACTCTAGGATATCATCTTGCACGTTGGTCCCAAGGAGACCACTACTTTGTCCGAAAGCATCTAGTGGATTTGGTCTATTGATCAATTGGTATCCCAAAAAGAAATTTTGGAGACCAATGCAAAACGTGAAAGTTTAGAGAAAGATATGAAAAATGTTTCAAAGATCCCACTCTGTTTGAAGAACTGTATATGAAATGGGATCGTGTTCATTTGTGTTTTCCTTTGGGCAAATGGTGAAACCAAAATTTTTCTCTCAAGGTGGTGTCCCCATTTAACTTGTTTACTTTTAATGGTGTCCTATATAGTTAGTACGAGTAAAAGTAAGGTCGGGTTCTCCGTAATCTTGATACCAGTTGACACCTTGTAGATTTATAGTCTTACACATACATATAAGATATATATGATATTTGACTACCCCAAAGTGTTGGTGTATCTTATGCGTATAATTTCACGGTAAATATCAGAAATCTCCCCTTAGCTTTAGATGATTATCGGAAAACCCTTTTTAACTTTCAAAATATCAAAAAGCCTCTTTAAGTATATGAATTATCACAAAACCTCTTTTTAATTTTCAGATTTCGTCAAAAAACCCATTTTTAACTTTGAAACTTTATCAGAAAACTCCCCTAGATTAGGAGATTTTTCTAATAAAGTTATAAAGTTAAAATGAGTTTTCTAATAACCCCTAAACTTAAAGGAGGTTTTCTGATATTTTGAAAGTTAAGGAGGGTTTTCTGATAATCATCCAAAATATGACAGTTTCATGATATTCAGCCATAATTCCATGGTGCAGGACATCTGTATCTGGGATTAGAATATAACTTTGAAAAGATAACCCAGCGCGCCCCTCGGCAGGGTTTAGAGAAAATTCATTCGACTGCACTAAGCGCAAGCTTTTTTAGTAGCTTTAAGACTAAATTATAGATACAACTTCTATGTAATGCTCTCTACCTGTTCTAGATACATTGCACAATGGTCACGTAGTCCAAAGCATAGAAAGTCTTCGAACAGCAATTCCTAGATTTACAGTGCTCCTTTAAGAAACCCTTTAAACAGAAAAATTTAGAAGAAATAGTAAACTATTTTCACAGCACACCCGCGCGCATGCAAAACTTGCTCCATACTTGATTCAGACTAGCATGCAGTGCAAGATCATGAAAAGAATAGCATTTGCAACAATATTTGGATAATTTTATATAAAATTATCTCAAAATTTATTACTTTCGTTATTCGTGAAACTGTGTTAGTAAATACATTTGCGCTAGCAAGCCATCTCGTAGCGCAGGAAAGTGTATGCCATTTCGTTATTGGTGTGGGGCTCACATGCCATACACTTGCAGCGCAGGAAATTTCCTACGCTGCCAGCTCACCTCCCGTTTTCTCATATATATGAGAAAACGGGAGGTGAGCTGGCAGCGTAGGAAATTTCCTGCGCTGCAAGTGTATGGCATGTGAGCCCCACACCAATAACGAAATGGCATACACTTTCCTGCGCTACGAGATGGCTTGCTAGCGCAAATGTATTTACTAACACAGTTTCACGAATAACGAAAGTAATAAATTTTGAGATAATTTTATATAAAATTATCCAAATATTGTTGCAAATGCTATTCTTTTCATGATCTTGCACTGCATGCTAGTCTGAATCAAGTATGGAGCAAGTTTTGCATGCGCGCGGGTGTGCTGTGAAAATAGTTTACTATTTCTTCTAAATTTTTCTGTTTAAAGGGTTTCTTAAAGGAGCACTGTAAATCTAGGAATTGCTGTTCGAAGACTTTCTATGCTTTGGACTACGTGACCATTGTGCAATGTATCTAGAACAGGTAGAGAGCATTACATAGAAGTTGTATCTATAATTTAGTCTTAAAGCTACTAAAAAAGCTTGCGCTTAGTGCAGTCGAATGAATTTTCTCTAAACCCTGCCGAGGGGCGCGCTGGGTTATCTTTTCAAAGTTATATTCTAATCCTTTTCACACGATCTTTCAACATATATCAAGTAATTAAACAGAGTCTAGAGTAGACCCTAGAGACCTAATGATGGTGAAAATTTTATTCACGAAGAAGCACATAACTAATCCAAGTGGGTTAATTTTTAACTCCATGTATGATAGCGTATTAAGTGGATCTTTTTATCGTTTCTAGGACCAGAGAGGAACCAAAATCCAATTTTTATATCGTCAGGCCTCCACTTTGAGTTTGGGGTCAAATTGATAGGGATTAGTATTTGAGTGCATTTTCTAAAATAACGCCGCACATTGCAGCGAGATCTGAGCTATGGAGGGCACAAGAAAATACCCAAATTGCCCCCATCCCCCACGAGTTTTCTCAATGGTTGAAAATGCTCGCACAGTGCCGGGCATTCTACAAGGATGTGCACTCACAGTTGTGTTTTTTTTTTTTGGCTATTATGATTAGATAACAGAGAAATCATTTTTTAATCATAATTAGATGTCATTTAAGGTATTCTCATGATTATTATATAAAGAGAACAAGGAGAGAGAACTGAAATGCTATACTAGCCTTGTTACCACTGACTCACAATTGTATAAATTTTATTGACTAAACAATTAACTTATGTTTAAATTACCAGATTGATACTTTACTTCTACTTCTTCTACTAATAGGGTATTATAAAATGCTTCATCTTTACCAATGAGACCATTTTTCTCATTGACGTTTAGAATTCCAGCTAGATTTGTTATTTCTGTGCTTGGAAATTTTCTTCTACCCGATAACCTTTCAAAGTTATTGAGTCTATGCGTATAATGTGGCAAAATGCAGGGGTTTTATGTGAAATTAACCCTTTAAAAATATCCCTTATATCCATCCACACCCTATCATCCACTCCTCATCTCTTCTCCTTCCTTATCCTAACTCATTATCACCAATGACCACCATCATTGTCACCCTTTCCTTCTTTTCCTCCCAGTTTCTCCCTTACCCAAAAACCTACATAGAGTGTGGATAGGGAAGAGAGAGTTTCTTAAGGGTCAATTTTATATAAATCCTTTATCTTTTGCCAGATTATGATGGGCTAGGTGAAAATTCAATAATTTCGAGAGATCATGGGGTGGGATAAATTTTCCCAACAAAAAATAACAGTTCAGCTGGAATTCTCGCCATCAACGAGAAAAAAAACCCGTATTAGTAAACGAGATGGAAATATAATACCTTAATGTAGCCGGTGTAGAATCGGCAAGAGATTTGATCAGAACAGGTTTTGGATAGCGCAGGAGTCTGTTTGGGTGCTGCGCGGTCGATCGCGGCACAAGGCTGGTCGACCGCGATCGTGCACGGATCCAGGGTTTGTGCCTAGACTTGGCGCGGTCGACCGCGAGACCCTGTAGGACTTTTTAGTCTCTGTCGCTGGATCGCAGTCGACCACGAGCTTTGGGCGGTCGACCGCCAATCGGGTCAGGGCCCAGTTTGAGTTTCATGTTCAGTTTGGGTTTGGTGTTTGCTATAAATACCAACATAAGAATTAGGGTTTCTTTAGGCTTGGATTGGAGATTGGTTTGGGGATATTGGAGCGCAGAAAAAGGAGAGTTTTTCTGAGCAATTGTTTGAGGATTTATTTGGAGAGATTAAGAGATTTGTCGGTGAGATTAGTTGATTGGTTTGAGCGTTTTGTAATCGTAGTTTGTACTCTTCTTCTCTATTAGTGAAACCCAATCCCCTTCTTGCCCCGTGGACGTAGGTAATTTGCCAAACCACGTAAAACTATTGTGTTTGGATTTGTGCCGTTGTTTTGATTTGTTTGGCCTTTATCTCGACGTTTGTTTGATTTGGTTCTCGAAGCACGCCCGATTGGTTGTCATGCTTCCACGCCGCGCACAACAATTGGTATTAAAGATTCAGATTTCAGATCTAGGATTTTGTCTTGGTTGGAGGAGTAGATCAATTTGGAAGTTCGGCTAGGGTTTCGTTTGGTGAGAAATGTGAGATCTTTTTGGTAAAGACTATCTTTTTCAGTTTGGATCTATTCTTCGTTTGTTCCGCATTGGTTTGTTGGTGCTTGGGCTATTTGGAGGAGTAGATCGCTTTGGAGGCTCTTCGAGGGTTTCATTTGGAGATAAAGGTGAGATTTTTCCTATTTGTGGATCTCGTTGCCGTCGTGCGGGGTGAGATCGTTTGGAGACTCTTGTTAGGGTTACAATTGGAGGTAAGATTCTCCCCTTTATCAGTTTGGATCTATTCTTCATTTGTTGGTGCTTTGAGATAGTTGGCTGAGATAGAAGGATTTCAGGCTGGGTTATTTGTTTGTTGATACGATGCATTGGATTATTGAGAAGTGTCATTGACCTGCATATTGAAGTCCTTTGAGCACGTTGGTATGAGCAAGACCGTGGCGGAGTTTGGCACTTCTATCCATCGAGCGAGGGGTCTTTTAGGAGGTGTTCAGTCAGGTATTTGAGGGCCTTCCAATGAGGCATCATTAGGAGGTAATCGTTTTGTAGTTTCCGCAGTTGGTGATTATTCTAGGCATTATTAGATTGCGACCAGTTCCCGTTGGTGTAAAGTCCTAGAAGTCAAGAACAATTGGAAGAAGTGTATTGGCAGGAAGGTAACTCATTGTTCTAGCTTTAGTAGGGGTCCTTTCTTACGTTTGTGCCAAGCTCATGACAATAGGAGACACTTCATTGGTGTGGAAACTTTGAGGCGACGAAGCAAGATGGCAGATTTGGAGAGCTGTTCCTTGCTGGAGGAGGATCGGCGTTGGTTGTCGAGCATTGGATTTAGTATTCGGGCTTCGACATGTTTGGGTCATCTTATGCATAGGTTGCCGACTGTTGCGTTTGGAGATTTTTGATCTGGTGGAGCTGCTTCAGATTTTAGTTGGCGTCAGATATTTGGTTACCCAGCATTTGGTCACATCGAGGATGTGAGATTTGATCCGATTGTGCGTTTGGGATTCGAAGGCTCGTTTGATTATTAGTTGGGAGCTTCTGATTTTGTTCTGAGCTGGAATGCTACTTTTGAATCTCAGTAGGTGGAGAGTGTTGATCAGGTTATTTGGATATCGCAGCAGGTAGAGGGTGATGCTACTTCACGTTGGGTGGAACTTATTCCACATACTCCAGATCATACTGCGTCATTTGGGATTCCAGCTGAGGTGACATAGGTTGGGGATCATTTGATTTCGGATGCAGATGATGGATTGGTTTTGGATTCGGTTGTAGCTGGTGGACATGATTTGGATACGGTCATTGGTTCACCTCAGATGAAGGTGTTTGATTTGTATCAGTTTGGGGCCGCT